AAATTGATAGTTTGTACAGTAAGAAAAGTTGTAACTAAGGGCTCCACGGCAAACATGTAAAACAGTAACTAGCTTTTTAATCGTAAATCTTTACTTTTAAATATTTTTAGGCAATCGACTGATGTTTTTACCGTGGCAAAATAAAGAAGCTTCCTTCCTTCCTTCCTTCCTTACCATTGCAAGGGGTCTATATGAAACATAAGTCAGTATATAATTATATAGCAGAGCATAATCTCATCCCCCAGACCTCCCACACCTTCAATGGTGTCACATACTGTCTTCACAGACCAGTCAGTCTGTAACTATGACAACCATCATTGTACTATTATATTGCCACCTAATGAGTAATTTCTGAGTATGAGGATGTAAGTAAGATCTTATAAAACATGTTGCGAGAGTTGTAAGTTGTTTTAAAAAACTTGGGACCCTTTACTTTTTCACCTTCGCCTGCCACAGCATGCCCAAGCAGGTTAACTACAAATTCATCAAGTTTCTATTTCTAAGGTTTTTCATGGTTATGTTGATGATGAGAGGAACACCGACAATGCATGGATTGAAACCATGGTAAGGAATTATCATGAAGAAACAGGCAACATTCTGGGAGGTCAATTTATGGTAAGTAGTATAATATGATTACTTAAGCACGGGCGAATGGAAATCAGCTGGTTTTTTGAGGAGCCAATCAAAAACCTTCTCCCCAACACCAAAGGAATGCGGAATGCTGTGAAACGTCTGCAAAGGAGGCTACTGGAAATATTGCTATTTTGGACTGTTAATGTATAGTACTAAATGCAACAAAATTATGCAACATTCTTGCACTGCAGGTTGCAGAGCAAATGCTGTTTGTATTACCACTAAAACATATAAATAAATTGACTTATTTTTCTATATGACATAGATCAAAGAAAACAAGCAAGACTTGGCTTGGCTAGTGGCAAGTTGTCAGTTGAATTTACCAGAAAATCAAGTCCTATTTTTGAGGAAAGTTGCTAAACTACACAAAGCTTTTTTCTAGCTTTACATTAAAAAACAACTCAACAAAAATTGACCAATCTTGGATTGTGAAAACAGAAATTCAAAACTTATTAAGATTTCTAAAGAAATTTGAACTGATCCAATAAAATTGCAATCAACAAAAAAATAAAAAATTTGTGCTGTTTCATATCTTGTGTATCTAAAGACAATGTGCAATGTCAACAATCTTTGTTCTTTCTGCTTGCTGCATTTTCAGCACTCACATTTAGGGAAGCACAGGTGGCGTAGCGGTGTGAGCGCTCGCCTCTCATCAATGCGACCTGAGTTCAAGTCTTGCCGGGTTCGGTGTTGTATATGAGTAGAGTTGTTTGTTGGTTCTCCCCTGTGCTTCGAGGGTTTTCCGGGTTCTCCAGTTTTCCTCCCTCCGCAAAAATCAACTCCTAAATTCCAATTCAATCATGGAATGAGGGCCACAGGTTTGTTAGCCACTGGCTATTAAGTGCTACCCTCGTGAAAAAAGGACGTTAATTTTCAGTATCATTGGACTTCTTCAAGGCACACAGTAAGACTATACCATTCAGAACCTGCTTTTTGATTGCCCCATAGTAAAACACCTCTTTTGTAATTGTTCAATAATAAGGTTTTATTACCAAGCCAGCTAGATAATGACATTACGCATAGTTGGATAACATTTTATACAAAATAATACAAGTACTCAGGAAGTGGATGAAATCTTTTCCATTTTGAAGGGAAATATGCTTCAACTTTCAGCCTGTAGGAATGAAAAATTGTTTTGTAAAAAAGTTGTTAAATTATCTAACTTATAGGCAGGAACTCTCAGTTGCAAGATAAATATTTTTGATATTTAATCATCGATGAAACATCTAGATCTATCTCGTCTTGAGAATATCTTACTCTTTCGCTGCCCTCACTTGTAAGATATTACCTCAACACTTGAAAATTAATATCTGTATCTCTGCATGGCCATGTAATATCCCCTATGTCTCGCTAAAGTGCTAACCATGCTTTGCATAAGATTTTATCCTTTATATTATTATTTCAATGAGCGAAGTAAATCTTCATTAATTAATTGGAAAAAATGGGAAAATGAACTTACTGACTGCATCTGTAATATTAGATATCTCTTAGATATTTTGTATTTGATCAAAAGAAATATCACTTACTTCCTGTTCAGTTTGAGATTCATAAGTTGAGAGCTGAAAACCAAAGTAAAGAACAGTTACATTCTGCATTTTTATACTTTCAAATTATCAAATGCAACTAAGGTTAGTATACGTCTTTACAAAATCCAAAAATATTGCACCTTTTGCTTGAGCTCAGCATTTTCTGACGTTAGTTGTTCCACCATCTGTTTCAGTTCTGATACCTCTAGTTTTAATGCCTCGACATCTGCGGTCTCCGGTCCTCCTCCATGGAGGTGCATTTGAAGAAAACTTGAATGTGTCAAGGATAGCTTTCTATAATATTTGAAATTCCTATGGGCAGTGAGTGTGTATTAAATTGTTGTTTCAGAAAATATCCATACCTCACCCCCAAAGGTTGTTTCCTACTTAGGGGAGAGAGTGTTGCATAACGACACTAATAGCTAGGAGACTACCAAAGAGGGAGTTATAATTATCATGGACTGAGTAGGGTATGAGTTACAGCTGTACCCTGCTGGTAGAGACTCATTTTGATTTCTCCCAAGCGAGAGAAAGAAGGGAGACTATATGGGCTAAAAATATCTGCAAGTCATTCAATGAAGTCCAGCCAAAAAATGCCATTTGCCTGGCCAAAGCATTGACTAGTCACATTCCAATTAGTCTGATGTCGCCAGTCATCATGACTTGGCATTAAGCAGTCGTTATTTTTAGTTCTTGGGTGTATCATAGATCCAGTAAGTAATCATATTACCAATAGAAAAGCTAATCCTGCCTCTAAGGAAAAGCTACGACACACTATCCTCAAATCACTCTTTTTAGCAAACACACAACTAGCTTGAGAATGCATTTTATTTTCGTAATCCCCTCCCCTACCCCCTTTGTGACTCTAAAAATCCAAAATGGCTGTCCCAGCATTTTATAGTAAACCCTATCAACAAATTAGTTTTACTCACATTACGTAAATGTAAAGACAGTGAGAATCGACTAAATAATACTTCACAAACCTAAAAGTATTAGTAAATTTGATCGTCCAAAATCATACGACAATAAGTTGATATAAAAGGATACTCCAAAGCATTGACAGGTTTTTCTGGTTCTTCGTAAAGGTTCACTAGAACTGAGAGAAAAAGGATAAATTATATCAAGAAGATAACGTAGAGATGATATTTTCAGTGTAAAGGAACTTACCTTTCGTTAAAGCATCGAGAACTCCCGCCTTTTCCAAGTATTTTCTGAACTCTTCTCTTTTAGAATCAGCTACCTGAAAGTAGTCCAAAAAAATGCCCGGAAATTAAAATAAAATGGCTATTTAACGTTACAGATCAATGTAATGATCATTATTATGACTTACTCTGYATTGCGAAGTCATTTTTAATGGTTTTCTGAGGTAAATTGAGGTCGTTTTTCAAGTAAATCTTTTGATGTTTTGTCAGTTAGCAACCAAGAACAACACGAGCAAGAACTGGAGACCAATCTCTCACGACAATATTATTCCAAAGGTAACCCACGAATGCTTACAGAGCCGACTTAAGTTATTGAAGGTAGGGAAAAAAGACTCAGAAAAAGGCTTGTGATCCGAGATCCAAGAAATTATAACCAATCTAAAAGGAACCTATTTTATGTTGGTATTATAGCATTTTTTTCAATATCATACAAACTCATAGCCGCGAGTTGTTGTTGTCCATCAAAATTAATTTCTGACTGGTAGCAGTGAAACCAAATTCCAATGAGCAATTCACAACTAAGTTTAAATGGTAGTGAAAATCGCAGTAAATCCTTTGAAAATATATTATATTTTATACTAAAGATTTTTAATAAAAATAATCAGGAACACGGCCCCAACAAGTAGAAACAACTTCGTAACACCATACATACCTTAACATTTATTGAAATAACATACCTCTAACCTTACTACACTATAGCATTATGAGTTTTATGAAGATGTCTAATTAATTTCATATTATGATTTAATGGCCTTGTATTGTATTGGAATACTCCATTTTACGGTTCCGTTCAGTGACCATGAATAATAGTTCCAAGTCAAGGTTGGAGTTTCTGCACATATCAAAACTATACTTTTTATCATGCTCGGCAACTGCAACCTTGGCTTGGAACTATTATTCTTGGTCACTGAACCAAACCATAAAACGGAGTATTCATGTAAGGTTCTTTTAAAAAAATCTAGTGTTTCACGTAGGATTTATTGGAAAGAATCTCCCTCAGCAAAGAGGGGCGTGGCTGGCCACCACTAAATTTGCCCTTGATTACATCTTGGATGATTACATCTTGGATGATTACATCTTGGATGATTACATCATGCGAATCCCATGTAAGTTTCCTTATTGCACATGTTGTGTTAAATAAAGCCTATATAGAAATTTTGAACACAAAGTCATACAGTCTCATTAATCAATAATTCATTTATAAGAATACATTTTTAACCTAGATTTTTCTAGTAAATCAGAAATGGCATAAGGCTTTTGCATGATGAGGGGGTAGGGTGAGGCATTTTTGTTCAACAATATTTTAGTAGGTGTCAACAGCATATGGGATAGAAAGAAATAGATTCACCATTTTCCATACATCAGTTCACTGGTCAAAACACAAAGCATTCAGTCGAATTTGCAAGGTTCAGGCTTAGCCTTGAATCACGTAGTTGCTTGTTTTGTTATTTTAATTTCTGCTTGTTTACCATACATCATCAAACTCATCAAAATCAAGGCTAAACCTGCATGCACTGGAGTTTTGAGCATGGTCAATAGTCCCTTTTCTCATTTGGTAAATACTAATGTAATCGTAGACTACCAACTCGTTTGTACAGGTTTTAATTGGCCTCGTTCAAATTAATCCTTTGCAAAAGGCTTGTCTGTAATGTGAAAAAGTTCCAACTCAAACAATACCTATGCTTTGAAATCCAAATGTACTTAAAATGGTTAGTGTGATAAGTGGACTTATAAACATGGCTTAAACCTGTATCAATGAGTCTGTTATCAGTATGGGTAAATTTGAATGAGAAAAAGTCCTATTAACCACAGCTCTTAAAACTCTTAGGCTTAGCCTTGTATCCTGGAGTTGTTTTGTTATCTTAAATTCTGCTTTTGTTTACCAACCTCAGAAGTGAGGCTAACCCCTTACGCTGGTGTCTTAAGACTAGTCAATTTAATATTCTTGAAGCCCAATCACAGTATTGACCTGAGGAGTTCCCCTGGCACAGTGATCACACAGCAACCAAGACCCTCCACTGCAGTCTTTAACCTGGTAAAAACCTCCCATTGGCACTTCACAGTATCATAATACTCTACACCATGTAACTCCCTCCCTTTATTTACTCCACCAAACACAAACAACTTGTTCTTGATCACAGCGACTGCCGCATGTGAGCGTGCAACGCACATTGGTGCAATTGCAGTCCACGTGTCTGTTTCAGGTGTATAAACTTCACATGCATCATGAATGTACGGCATATCAAGTACATCTTCACCACCAATGACGTAAATCTTTTCATTGATGTATGTAGCACATGCACCTGATCTGCGGCTTTTCATTGGTGTCTTCTTATACCATAAATTTGTTTCAGGGCTGTAACATTCACAGGTATTCAGAGGATGATACACTTCATTACTGAATCCACCAATTGCATAGATAAAAGCATCAGCTGCGACAACACAAAGATGTGTGCGGCTGTCTCTCATTGGTTCCATAAACTCCCAGGTGTTAAGCTTTGGGTCATACCTTTGGACCACATTCAGGTGTTGCCCTACTGCATCATGTCCCCCAATGGCATAGATGTAATTTCCATGGCACACAACACCGAGACCTGCTGACTCTTTACAAAGGGACATGACACTTGACCATGTATTTGACCGTGCGTCATAGAGCTCTACACTGCGAACTGCCGATTCTTGCATAGAGGATCCTCCAACTACATACACAACCCCTTCATGCACAGCTACGCCATGGTTCTTCCTTGGAAATAGCATCGGTGCCAAGTCAAAGAACTCCGCAAGATACGGAACAAATACTTGGGCAGCGTTAGTTATTTTGTTGGTCTCGAGCCAACCACCTAGAAGTAGTACTCCATTCTGGCAAGTTCGCGGATTGAATGGCGGTTTATTGTTTTGTCTTTCTTGCGACGAAGACTGGAAGAATTCATCCGTCTTCTGGAGAGCACTTTGACAGCTCTCGCTATTTTTCACCAAATTCTCTTCTTTCACTACGTCTAAAATGTAACACCTTGGTAGAAATATCAAACGCACATGGGAAAACAAGGCATCGAAATGCTTTTTCCTGTCATCGATTTGCAAATTGGTCCAACGCACAATCGCTTCAAAGACTTCCATTTCTTTAGCCACAAGGTCGTCGCACGAAATAATAGCAATGAGTTGTTCAACACTAAGTTTTTCAAAGTCCTCACCCTGAGAAACAGTAGCAAAGTTTTCCAGCGTGTATTTCTGGGCTTCTTCACAAAGATCCTTAAAAGCATATTTCTCTGCGATAGAAAGGACTCCTAAACAATTAGCAGCTGTCAAATTTTGACTCACGAATTCTGTGCTCATCTTCTTTAGCTTGGGAAGGAACATGTAATCGGCCGCTACAGTAAGCTCAATTGCATTGGATTCCGTTAGAATAACAGTTCCAGAGTACAGATACGTTAGAATATCTTCCATTATTTGAGTATTGAGGTCGTTTATCTGGATCGTGTTGTCTTGATTTTCTCTCATTTCGCTGGTGAAGAGCGCTTTGAAGTAAGGACTCGAAGCGGCAAGCACATTGCGATGTGCATTGAAAGGAACTCCACGGACGTTCAAAGTAACATCGCAAAGGAATCCCTCCTTTCGAAAATCATTGATGGACTTCATCGCTTGGTCGCTGAAGTTCGCTTCTTTCCTCGCCATAATCAAATAAAATTCCGGGAAAAAACTGACCAAAATAGATTTCCTCCTCTTACCTCGAACAAGAAGGGCAGGAGTGCACTCGTTCCAGGACTTGCTCACTCATTTTTCCGCTCCAATATATATGCGTTCCATATAATCTTTATTTAGATTCACACGACTGTACATCTGCCTTCAATAGCCTTCAATAGCCTTCAACAGGGTTCATTAGCCTTTAACAGGATTCATTAGCCTTTATTTGCCTCTATCAGGGTTCAATAGCCTTCATCAGGACTCGATAGCCTTCATTTGCCCTCATCAGGGCTAATATCCTTCATTGAGGCTTCATCAGGGTTCATAAATAAATAAAATAGGCCTTTTGCAACAACAGGTAATTTAACCGTGCCCCAGTAAAAAGAGACGTTATATCAAAATGAATATCAGAAATGGAAAGAGCACCTCGATATTAGTAAGGAGGCAAGGTTTCATCTTATAACATGTAAGGAGAAATGGCATTAAATACAAAAGCGAATATTTTATAATGATTGTAAAAGGGATAAGGAATACTTCTAGTTCAGGTATAAGAGATACTCCAAGTCCTTCAGGTAATATATATATATATATAGGTTGCTATCAATAGACGTCACTTCCGGTAATAGCTCTTTTTTGATGGCTTGTAGAATCCTGGAGGTTGTTTTGATCTCTTGTTTTCTGGTTTGATGTCGTGAAAATAGTCAAATGCAATAGTTTGAGGATTTATTTTGATATGTTTCGACTTAGCATCCGCTTGTTTGTCCCCCAGTCAACTCCAAAAAAGTCACGTGATTGATAGTAAGCAATAAGGAATACTCCTAACTCATGATCAGTTATGAAGGATATACCTAGTTCAGCTAGAAATTCGAATTCTCCGATTTCAAGGGAGGAATACCTTAAAAAAGTTTTTAGTAGGCATAACTTTTAGCTCACCCATCCAGACTAACTTCGCTTAACCGCACTTGACTCAGTGTCACTAAAGCTCAAGTTTTTTCCACTGGACCACGGTTCCAGGTGAATCAGCATAACAAAAGCCATGAAAACAATGCACCAAATAGACTAGACTTTTTGACATTAAGTTTTCAACCGATTCCGTGCGTGGCAGAGATGCAAGGGATTAGCCGATATGGTCTGGGGGCCGGCTGGTCTCTCCTCTGATGCTTCGGCTAGAACATTTTCTTGCGTAATTCGTGCACCCAAGGGCAGAAGGATTTAATCGCCGTCAGGTCCGAAGTCCATACGACGCCTCAGCTCTGCGGATGTCTCGGGGGTATGGCAAAGTAGAATCGATTTTTTTCCTCAAATGTCTTTCGCTGGCTTCTAACTTCATTTTATTCAGATAATATCTTTTATTTTTTTGAAAGTATGTTATCATAATTTGTCTAATATATTATTAGAAAGAAGACATTTTATTTATCAAATTTGCCTTGTTAACTTGGGCATTGTATACTCGGCCAGGTATACTATGCGGATTGCCAAGTTTACTACGATCCTTGACCGGTTGCCGGTCATTTAGACACGCCTATGTGAATGCACTAAATATGACCGGAAGTTCCTTTTATTTTTTGAAAATCCAGCCCAATCTATTCAATAACACAAACTATCCCATCATGAAGTGACAAACGATTCCAGAGGACGTTTTATTTATCAAATGGATCGAGCCAGATGGAGTAACTTTTGTAGTATTAATCGGTCCTTTTAATGTAAATGGATGTGGAAAAGAAAGTCACTCCCTCATGATCTCGTTAAGATCTTGTCCAACGGACCGAGCTAAGATCACATCCAGTGAAAGGACCTTTGAAGCTAACATCACATCCAGTGAAAGGACCTTTGAAGCTAA